CCCAACTCTTGAGCCACGGTCGCCCCATTTTTACACAGTAACAACGCAGTTAGCGAGCAAATGCCAACTCCTACATGCCACAGATAACGTCTGAGAAGTATGTGTGGCTCAGTACCTAATGTTTGATGATGGGCAGGTAGTTATCACTAAGCCGCGCCTCAAAAAATGGGTTATATAAAAGTTATCAGATAGCTGGGATTGGTTTCTGATAAGCTTGTTTCCTTGGTGTACCGATAAAAATAATACAAATACGTCCACAAACTAAAGAAGGCTTACATGTTCCTCGTCAAACTGGTCACCTCCGAACGCCGCCACGCAGGGTTTGATCCCTCCGGTGCCCAAAGCTATGAGTATCAGACCTGACATGGACAGAGCACTGTAGGACGCACGGACACAACACAGTGTATATTAATGACAGTACAGTGCTGAAAAGAAAGAAGAGATTGGATGAAGGGCACTCAAAGAATCGCTGAGTGAAAACTATGGGACACTGTATGGCATTGGAAACTGTGATGGGCATCAGTTTATCAATGACATGACGTTTATGCACCAAAAATATAATTTTATCCTGATTCAAAACTTTTGAAATCAACGCTCAAATTCTTTCACTGCAATAAGGATTATTAATGATTACACCTCCTCACCTCTTCCTCTTCTAACAGTGCTGGGCTGTGATTGTGCAGAGTGATAGAATTAGCTCATGACAACTCACATGTGCAATTCGGTGCTTCCCACGGTGGGAATGGCTCCAACCGACTTGACCACATGGCCGATCACATATACAATGGACAGGTAGATGATGGTCCTGTGGGGAGCAAGCTGTGATTATGTACAGGGCATTCAGGCCTTCTTCAAAATCTCTATGTGTGCTCAGAATGATTCATCTACAGTCGCAGCCAACGTCAGGCAAAGCTAGCAGCTTAAAAGGAGATGATGAAATACTGCACATGCATAAAATGCGCCTGTTTCCACCACTGAAAAATACATTTTTTGCTAGCTATAAGTCAAGATTTCGAGCTATGAAGCGAGACGTTTTGAGATAAAAACCCAAATTTTTGACTTATCGATGGCAACAAATGTTTGTTTTTTCCAGTGGCAGAAGCTTAGAAAGTATCCACATAACATGAACACAGTTTGCACAATGTATTTTTGTCATTTGCTTGGATCCACACTTTAGTGCATTTACAGCTGAGAGACTCACTTGTATTTTCCGAGCCAGGAGTCAGCAATGAAAGCTCCCAGTATGGGTGTGAAGTAGCAGAGGCCGCTGAAAGCATGGTAGACAGCAGTGGAGAGGTCCTTGTCCCATTTCAGGTAGGTGAGGAAATAGAGCGTCAGCAATGCTGTGATCACACACACACACACGAGCAAGCATAAGCTGTGAATCAGCTCACAGGATGGAGAAGCCCAAGCCCACACCTAAACACCACAATACATCGTAAGCCTTCGACATGAACTGTCATATTCTAAAAGTATTATTGCACTCAGAATCCTTTCAGCGAATCCTCCGCAGTTCATGAATTCAACAATACCACATGATTAGGGTGGAGATTCCCATGATGCATTGGGTTTTTCCTTTCCAGTCACCTTTCTCACTCACTATGTATTAACAGACCTCTCTGCATTGAATCATATCTGTTATTAA